GCGCGTGTGTGTGTGTGTGTGTGTGTGTGTGTGTGTGTGTGTGTGTGTGTGTGTGTGTGTGTGTGTGTGCATGTGTGTGTGTGCCGGGGGGACGGTTGGGAGGACCTCCCCCACCAATCAATCAATCAATCAGTCAATCCATCAATCAATCAATTTTTATTTTTTTTTTTATTTTTTTTTTATTTTTTTTTCCACACACCAAAAACGACCCCCCCGAAAATGATTTTTTTTGACTTTTTTTTTTCAAGGGGGTAGGGTCAGGGTTCCGGAACCCCAATCCGCAACCCCGACCCCCAAACCTCCTCTCCCCTCGGCCGCTGTGGGCCGCAGAAGGTTCGGGGTTCGAGGCCAGCAGGCAGTGACGCGGGAGCAGCGGAGCAGTGGAGCGAGGAGGTGAGGGCCGAGGGGTAGAGGGCCGCCAGGGCTATCCCCCTCAGCTTTTGCGATAAGGGGTGGCGGGCCCGGCCCATGGGACTGGCGAGGGGTCAGTGGTTTACTCCGAGGAAAAGTTGGATTTTCTTTTACGTCCGTTTATTTCTGATTTTTTTTATTTTACTTATTTTCGTGAGGCAGCGCCGGGGCCTTGCCCCTACCTTTTGGTTTAAGGTGCGGGCCTTTGTGGCCTGTTCGATCCAAGCGACAGACATTGCCTGACGGGGACGACGCTATTGTGGGTGCGCCGCTCGCCGTTCATGGTCTGCCGTGAAGAGGTTTGTGTGTGAGCATGCCTGCGGGGACAGGTAAGATGGTGAACTATGTCTGGGCGGGGGCACCGGTGGGAGGCTGCCGCAGTTTTGGATGTGCGGCAGGATTGTCCCAACAGTTGTTCCCATGGGGCATGTCCCCACTCCGCCCCAAGAGTTCGCATTTGAATATCTGCTACTACCACTAAGATCTGCACCACCGCCCGCGTCACCAAGCCTCGCGCTACAGATTGCAATGAGGCCGCACCCCCGATCCTGTGATCTGCTGTGTGGGGAAGGTGAGTGGGGGCAGCCTTGTTGGGGTCACGAGAGGTGGTGAGCTCTGCCTGGGCAGAGTGGGACAGAAGAAACCGGGGTGGCGGGGCTAGCCTGAACAGCACAAACATGGACTGCACGCCTCAGCACCTTGAGCTGACGGGAAAGGCCGATTTGGAAGTGAGTTGATACTCACTCCGCTGCCTATATTGGTAGCACTAGTTGTCGTGTCTGTGTGGGAGCGCAGTTTAGCGCATGGTGGGGCACAGGCGCTGAGCAAGGCGGTCAGCGACACCGTGAGCAAGGCGGTAAATAAAGAGAAAGAAGGAAATGAATTTGGACAGGGCTCTGCGCAAGGTGCATACGGGGAAGAAAGAGTGCAGAAAYGAGARGGGGAGCTATGGCTGAGGGGAAAGATGCATATCCCGCTCGTTTCCTGATGAAAACGAGCGGGGGAAGGTAGTGGACAGGGGTTTTAGGATAGGGCGACCCTAAATCCGACGTTAGTTTTTGTGGAAAGKCAGTAGGATGAGAGTTAGTAGAAAAATAGGCTGCGCGGAGCTATGGYGGAGAGGGAAGAAGGTGGGAGAAAATTTGGCATAACACGGTCATTCCTTGACCGTTTTCAGCGGTTTAAGACTTGAACTGGGGGTTTTGGGGCGCTCCGAGTTGAATGGGAGCATCGGATTTGGCGGTGGAGTAACAGTTTTGGCGAGAGAGGGAAAATGAGCTGCGTGGAGGCATCGGGGAGGAGCGATGGAGGGAGTAAAAACGAGCCATCTTGGTCATTCCTTAGTCGTTTTGGGAGAACCAAAATGCAAAATGGGGGATTAGAGGCGGGGCRAACGCAGTAGCAGCGTTAGTTTCTGCACTAAGACGTTARTTTGTCGGGGTYCAGTAYTGATAGCTGCGCCCAGGAAGAAGGGGTAAATTYGACAATGTATACTTCCGTGTTTTAGTGGACGATCCATCCGGATCCTTACTCATCGTATCGAAGGACGTACCGACCGAAGAAGAGGGAGGATAAAGGTAGAGAGGGACAAGRGAAGGACTTACCTCRAAGWMGACACCAGACAAACGGGGCAGGAGTGAGCATGYATCGTTGAGCTGACGAGGGTGTTAC